TGACATCAACAGCATGATAAAACATTACCACAGTAAGTTCCAATGATGCTAAAAAATAAATCATAATACACTTTATAGCTGCATAAATAAAATGTGTGCTTTAATATTAAATGTTTAATTTATTTATTAATGTATAAATAAATATTAATGCATTTATAAATGTATTGTTATATGATTTTTATTATATATATATATATATATATATATATATATATATGTGTGTGTGTGTGTGTGTGTGTGTGTATTATATATTACATATTAATTAAACATAGTTTGCTAAAATAAGAAGGATGTGCATCATTTTGTCACAGAACAACCAGACGGATTGTGTCGAAAACTAGAGAAACCATGTGAGAAGCCAAAAGCACAGAAGCCTTGGGACAAAGATGCATGGGAAATCTCTAAAGAATCCATAAAGATGGTGAAGAAGCTCGGAGCAGGACAGTTTGGAGAGGTGTGGATGGGTGAGTTAAGGAAATGAAGCCTTTCAGCCTGTCAATGATTTACAAAAGATCTGGAATTCGCCTGAAGTCACAAACATGCATTTAGCCATGGAGTGTTTCCTTCATCAGAAGTCGATTACACGTTCAGCTTTGCTAAACTACAGAAAAGTGTTGCTCTCTTCTTTATGGTCTTGTTATTCAAATTCTCTCAGTCTCTAAGATTCCCCAAGCGCTTGATCAAAAAGAAAACTGCGTTTTATGTGCTCTTCAGTGGGCTTAGAAGTGACATCCTTCAGTGTTTGTATCCATTAATCGACCTTCTTTGAACATGTGTAGGCTTATTGTTACTATCTAATTCTTTGAGCCATAAAAGCTTTGACAACTTGCATTCAAATCTCGAGTCTTCCTGCTGTGGCTTCTGGCTGGCATGAATGGCTCCCTTATAGCTCAGACTGATAGTACACAGAGACCCGGCACAAACGCGACTCTTATCAGTCAGATCTGAGGAGGAAACTGCTATGCAACTGACGCAGGATTTGCATTTGGATTTCGTTATTATTCATGTGCCTCTTTCCCTTTCAGCCGACATGATGAATTGCAGGAAGCGGTCTTCGCAAATATACAAATGGCTCTCGACCGCCCGTGGCCAAGATGTTTCCTTTGGCGCCCTGTGACCTTGTTGGCACAGCGTTGCCAGACCTTAAACACAACTATAAGTCCGTACGATGACAGAAACACACTCAACGGAAAGACTTCCTTCTGTTTGGTGTGCCCCACTTTGTTACGTCTCAACATTTTAGACAAACTATTAGATTTCAATGGCTAAGATGCACATTTGGGCATCACATGTCCAGATAATTCATATGAAAGTTGTCTGTAATTTTGAATGAACAGGGAAATGGCATTTAAGTGGAATAAGGGATGAGCACACGCAAACCACAGAGGTCAGTAACAGTCCTGGACATAGTGGCACTGTGTCATCACTTCTGAGAAATGTAGTTTATGGATAGCAGTGAGTTGCATAAGATCCTTGGTGAGAAAATGTGAGGATTCGGAGGAGTCGGTTCCTATAAAAGGTTTTTTAGGGCCAACTGACAGTTCCTATATCTATACTGATAAATTCTCTGTTGCATGGTTGCATTTCTCGCTAGGTTTCGTGTTAGACTCAGCCTTTAGTTTGTTGTTTTGTAGCTGGACTGCGACTGTGGCGTTGGAACAGGAAGTTTATTGAAAACCACAGAGAAGTGCACAGAACCATGGGTTTAATTGTGGTTTCTTTTTGTTCGCAGCCTACTATAATAACAGCACAAAAGTGGCGGTGAAAACGCTGAAGCCGGGCACAATGTCAGTGGAGGCTTTCCTAGAGGAGGCCAACCTGATGAAAACCTTACAGCACGACAGACTCGTGCGCCTCTATGCTGTCGTCACCAAAACTGAGCCCATCTACATCATCACTGAATTCATGGCAAATGGTACAAGAAGTACTGGTCACACTTTATTTTAAGGTCCAATTCCCACTATTAACAAACCATTAACTATTGCTTTTGCCTCAATAAACTCCTAATTTGCTGCTTAGTAATAGTTATTAAGGTAGTTGTTAAGTTTAGGTTTTACGTAGGATTTGGGGTGTAGAATATGGTAATGCAGAATATGTGCTTTATAAGTACTAAACAGCCAATATGTTAATAATATGCATGCTAGTAAGCAACTAGTTAATAGTGAGAATTGGTCCCTATACTGAAGTGTTAAGGAAATACTCTTTCAATGATTAAAAACTATGTGAGAGTTACAGTTGCAAGAAAATTGCGTTCTCAGTGACATTTATATAACGGTTTGTTTCTTCTTCTACAGGAAGCTTATTGGATTTCTTGAAAAGTGCAGCTGGCTGCAAAGTACAGTTACCGAAGCTAATAGATTTTTCTGCACAGGTAAAAAATATTGGTTCAAGACATGAATTAGCCTTCTCTTCTCTTAGCCCTCCATTTTCGTGTTTCTGGGGTAACTTTACGGGTTTTTGCGTCAGGAGGCTGACATCACTTTTTCCATTAGTTGAAGAAAAAGAGGAACCGATTCTTTTGTCTGCACGTATTTAAAAACAAAGAAAAATCAGTCAGTCAGTCATTTTCTCAGGAATTAAAAATCGTATTAGATTTACAAATCTAAGTTTAAGTTAGAATTTCTATATCTTGTGACAGCCATAATAATGCTGAGGTAACCAATGAAAAAAAAAAGGCTGGTTAAAGCATTATAGACATCATACAATATTTACAGTCATAACTGCTTCAAAAGACAATCCAAAAGACAAAAACTAAATCTAAGGAAGAAAATTTGTTTTCAGTGTGAGTCTTTAGGACTTTAAGATTGCCTAGAATCAGATTTCTGGTGAAACAGCATCAAATAGCAAAATTGCACATCCTGTTTTAGAGTGAAAGAGGATGCCAATGGGGAAGTGAGACACCATCATTTTCCCTTTGTTAAAGCAACTTTTACTCTGTTAAAATTATATGAGAAATGCGACTACACCCACTTCTGAAGTGGAAAAACCCCATGAACTGCTGATTTACTGTGATCTAGACTGTGATCCAAAGCTGCATTTATTTTATCAAAAATATTGTAAAATATTGTGAAATATTATTATAATTTCAAATAACTTTTTTTTTTATATATATATTTAAAAATGTAATTTATTCCTACAATGGCAAAGCTGAATTTTCAGCAGCCATTACTCCAGTCTTCAGTGTCACATGATCAGATCTAATATACTAATTTGTTGCCTTATTTCTTAATATTATCAATGTTGAAAACAGTTGTGCTGCTTACTATTTTTCTGAAAACTTTTTCAGGATTCTTCGATGAATAGAAAGTTCAAAAGAGGGCAGTTATTTGAAATATAAATCTTTTGTTACATTATAAACGTCTTTACTTTCATACACGTTCAATTTAATGTGTCAGTGTGCTCAATTTAAAAAAATCTTACTGACCCAAACTGAGTGTGTGTTTGTTTCTGTCAGTGATGCTGAGTTTTGTGTGTGTCTCTGCAGATAGCTGAAGGTATGGCCTACATTGAGAAGAAGAATTATATCCACCGAGACCTGAGGGCAGCTAATGTGCTGGTTTCAGATAGCCTGTTGTGCAAAATAGCTGATTTTGGCCTGGCCAGAGTGATTGAGGATGACCAATACACAGCCAGAGAAGGTGAGTGTGTGACACCTTTCAGTGCTTTAGCAGCATATTGAATGGACAAGTTATTTTCTACAGCATTACTATGTCAGACGCCTCTCCAGACTGTGCCTGCTGAGGCTGTTATATGCATACTGATATTGTGATAGTTTTCCTGCATCAGCAGACCTGACTGATCTGTGTGAATTTTGTGTGTTCTGTGTCTCAGGAGCAAAATTTCCTATCAAATGGACGGCACCCGAGGCCATCAACTACGGTTCTTTCACCATCAAATCCGATATGTGGTCCTTTGGGGTTCTCCTGTATGAGATTATAACATACGGGAAAAATCCGTATCCAGGTAATATAATTGAGATAATGGCACCTTGATTGCATTTCAGTTTAAATAAAGCATTCCAGTTTTATTTGGAGGTATCAGCATTACTCCAAGAGAAAGCTGCAATGGAGTGAAGATAACAAAACTGATTCTTTTGTCAGGACTTTATCGACATCTACTGGTCAAATTGTGTTTAAGAATTTAATACTTTTATTCAGCATAGATGTGTTAAATGAATAAAAAGTGATAGTAAAGGCTTATATTATTAGAAAAGATTTCTATTTTGAATAAACGCTGTTCTTTTCAACTTTTTATTCATCATAGAATCAAAGAAAAAAGTATCACAGGTTCCAAATAAATATTAAGCAGCACAACGGTTTCAACACTGATAATAAATCAGCATATTAGAATGATTTCTGAAAGATCATGTGAAACTGAAGACGGGAGTAATGGCTGATGAAAATTCAGCGCTGCGTCACAGAAATAAATTGTATTTTGAAAATTTCAATTGAAATAATATTTTGGCAATATTACAGTTTTTTTCTGTATTTTTAATCAAATAAATAAAGCCTTGATGATCATCAGAGCATCCTTAAAAAAACATGAAAAATCTTCCTGATCCCAAACTTTTGATCGGCAGTGTAAACCAAACTTTACAGTTTCACTTCTATATGTATTCTGAAGGTTTATGGAGAGGTTTGTTTATACATCATTCACCTGATCACATAACATTTTATGAAAATGTATACAAATGAGTGAATATTTACATATTTAAATGGATAATTTACCATTTGCATATTTAAACAAACAAAACAAAACTAGTAAAGTATGGTGATATCTACACTAGTCAACGTTTTAAAGGGGATCAAAACCTTTCATCAAAGTTGTCCTAAAACCTAAAACCATAATGCGTTCTTGTCTTAGGGCAACTTTTTTGATCCTCTTCAAATGTTGACTACTGTATTAGTTAAAATGAGTTACGACACCTTTGGCATCTTGTCTTAAACACTGACAAAAATACCTTTCTGAAAAGACTCTGCGTGACATGTATTACTCAGTTTTTCTCTGTCTCTTTATCAGTCCACTAACCCTTTCACTTCCTTCTTTTTCTTACCTTCAGGCATGAGTAACAGTGAAGTCATGAGCTCTGTTCAGAGAGGTTACCGCATGCCCCGTCCTGAAAACTGTCCCACTGAACTTTATGAGATCATGACCTCGTGCTGGAAGAGTAAACCAGATGACCGGCCCACGTTCGACTATATTCAGAGTGTACTAGATGACTTCTACACAGCCACCGAGGGCCAGTACCAGCAGCAGCCATGAGGATGCGAGATCATCCATCATATTTTTGTACTGTTTCAAGATGATCAACAGATCTGTGATTTATCTATGAATCAATGTGGTAATATGTGACTAATAATGGGATCAATCTGCTTATGTGTAAGCAAGGTTCAGATTTTCTATTTCTGCTTCAAATTGAAGTTTTAACAACCTATTTGCTACTTTTGCTCTTCTCATTCAAATTTCAATGGCTGCATTTCAATTTGTAAATACTTTTTATGTTTCAACGTGCCCTACCAAAGTTTCATTGTTATTTTTACACATCAAAACATTTCTTTTCTTTTCTTCTTTTTAAATGAGGGGTTTGCAAACTGGAGTCTGGGGGCCGCTATCTGCAAATAAATTCAGAGAAAATAAAAGATTTTACTTTTAGGGCTGTCGAAGTTAACTGTAAAGCTGTTTTGGAAGGATATTTATTGTAAAAAGAGCTATACCAATACATTTGAACATTTGAATTGAAATAAGATGTTTAGTTACATTCACAAATGTAAACGCTGAAAATGAACACTGTAAAACACTTGTCTTTAAACTATCACACATTTTCTTAAAAGGATGTGAATAATTTATAAATGACATTAAGCAGCTGCCTATATATTTTAGTAAGAGGGTAACTCAAAAAGGATCATCATATTTGGAGGTTCTTGAGTTCTTTTCGAAAACCTCTGCTTTGAATTCAAATAATGACTAATGAAATCCATGCACTGTAAACCACTGTAAAGAGAGTGTGATCTTGACATTTTTTTTTAGCATTACGTATTTTAATAACAATATTGATAATGTTACTATAATTAACAGTAACAGAGGGCAATATTTTGTAATTAAGAGTTTAAATTGCCTTGTGTTTAGCTTTAAGAATGAAATGCTTTGTATATTTAAAATATTTTGTACATTTGTACATTATCTAGAAACCTAATAAAGTGACTCTTTTGTGATTGATAAAACAGTTCTCTGGGCCATAAAATACTACACTACCAAAACTAAGGAAATTACCTTGAAAGTAGTCTTCTTTAAAGGGATATTTCACCCAAAAATGAAAATTCTGTGATCATTTACTTAAGTTAACACTTAAGTTGTTCCAAACCTGTATGAGTTTCTTTCTTCTGGTGAACAGAAACGAAGACATTTTGAAGAATGTGGTAACCAAATAGTTTGGTAGCCACCGAGCAGCTAATTGTATGGAGAAAACAAAATAGAGTCCAGAAACTGTTTGGTTACATGAATTTTTCAAAATATCTTCTTTTGTGTTCAGCAGAAGAATTAAATTATAACAACGGTTTGTAACAACTTGAGGGTGAGTACATGATTACAGTGTTTTAATTTTTGGCTGAACTCTCCCTTTAATTCCCGTCCTCTATAAGTCCCGCCCATTTATGGTCATGTGACCATTTCAAGATGGCTGCGCCCTTCAAATTGGAGGCGTGACTTTGTTCATTTGTTAGAACCGTTATACAGTCTATAGTTACAACACAGTGTCGGTCAGAGACAGAGTAAAACAGCTTGTCAAGCCTGCAAACTCTCATTCAACTCTTCTTTGAAGCTGGCAGCAATGGATAAGGACAGTCTGATTCTGTAAGTTAATGATGAATGAATGCTGATCTACGTGTTATAATGATTTGATTATATGTGTTGTTGTAGAACCAGATCAACTCACTGACAAGATAAAAACGTTCGTTTATAAAGCATCTATCGATTATACAGGCAGGTAATGCAAAGTAGGTAGTAGCTAGTGTGAGAAAAGTAGTAGTTTAGTAACTGTAAACTGTGGGAAACTCACGTCCCTCAGCGGTCTAATTTAAGTGTTCAAAGGTCAGATACAAAAAAGAAGAATTGCAATATTAATTTTACTGATAAATGTCTTTAATTAATTAAATCACAAAATATGTTCTATTATTTTATAACCAAAGAGCATCTCGGTATTGATAAGTCAATAATGAATAGTAATGCAGGGTATCATTATCAAATGTGACCCTGGACCACAAAACCAGTTTTAAAGTTCCGTTGATGTATGAATATTGTTAGGATAGGACAATATTTGGCTGAGATATAACTATTTGAAAATCTGGAATCTGAGGGTGCAAAAAAATCTAAATATTGAGAAAATTGTCCAAATTAAGTTCTTGGCAATGCATATTACTAATCAGAAATTAAGTTTTGATGTATTTATGGTAGGAAAATTACAAAATATCTTCTTGGAACATGATCTTTACTTAATATCCTAATGATTTTTGGCATAAAAGAAAAATCGATAATTTTGACCCATACAATGTGTTCTTGGCTATTGCTACAAATATACCAATGCTACTTATGACTGGTTTTGTAGTCCAGGGTCACAAATCATTAATATAATGTTTTTTGACCACTCCTACTCGATTGTCTATTTATGTAATTATATATTTACATTTCAATACACATGACATACACTACTGTTCAAACGTTTTTATTATCACTGTTGAAAACATTTTTACAGATTCTTTAAAGAATAGAGTTCAAAAGAAATGCATTTACTTGGAATATAATTATTTTGCAACAATGCAAACATATACACTGTTTCGGTCGTCTTTCCTGAATAAAACTATTAAATTCTTTCACAAAAAAACATACTGACAACATTTGAATGCTAGGGTTTATCTGCGTGGCTTTGTATTGTAGACAACAGGGTGTGTTTTTGTGGCTCTCTCTGCACAAATGCTTATCAAGCTGTGAAGAAAGCGTAAACCATTAGTCCCCTGATCTCAGAAGCCCTTATCTACTCTCTTCACTTGCTGCTTAACACATCTGTGAAACCTGATCATCTCAAGCAAAGGGAGGGGCTTCTGAGTACAAATGATGCATGAAAATGAGTGAAAAGTAATGTTGTGTAAAAGAGTTATTGAGAGAATTTGATGGCTGTTTTCCATCCCAGCCCCAAAGACTTTCCAGAGCTGAAGAACGACACATTCCTGAGAGCCGCTCGAGGAGAAGAGATTGAGCACATTCCAGTGTGGTGTATGAGACAGGCTGGCCGCTATCTGCCAGGTATGTTCCAATCTTATGTGCTAAATGTGATTATTTACCATGAAGCTGTTCTTTTTTTTTTATTCAGTATGCAGTGTATTTACCATCTAGTGTCTCTGTGGCTCTATTTACAGAGTTCAGGGAATCGAGGGCAGGGAAGGATTTCTTTGAGACATGCCGCTCTCCTGAAGCTTGCTGTGAGCTTACTCTACAGGTCAGCACCGCTGAGCACCTTCATTCTTACATGCTTCTTATAACATATTGACTTTTAACACTGTCTCAATTTTCTGTTTTAGCCACTCAGACGATTCCCATTTGATGCTGCCATCATCTTCTCTGACATCTTGGTGGTCCCTCAGGTGAACGAGGGTCATAATTTGACCGCTGATTTACCGAATTACCAAAGAATATGATGTCTATTTATATATAAAATGTGTATGTCCAGGCCATGGGAATGGAGGTTCAGATGTGTCCAGGTAAAGGCCCCACATTCCCAGAACCACTGAAGGAGCCTGAAGATCTGCAGAGACTAAAGACTAAAGTGGACGTGTCGTCTGAACTCGACTACGTGTTTAAAGCCATCACACTGACACGACACAGAATAGAGGGAAAAGTTCCTCTCATCGGCTTCACTGGAGCTCCGGTGAGAAAACCAAGCAACAATCCTCACGTGACTAAAGATACTGCTTTAAAAATGCACAAGATGTTTGGGGATAACAAATCAAAACATAAATTGTTTAATATTTCTATTGGAACCTAAATGGAAGCAAATGTTTAGATGTTTGACAGTAACAAAACAATATGGTTGTTTTGCAAAATTGATCATTTAAACTGCTGCCAACTGCATATTATTAATATGTGACCCTGGACCACAAAACCAGTCCTAAGTCGCTTGGGTATATTTGTAGCAATAGCCAAAAAAACATTGTATGGGTCAAAATTATAGATTTTTCTTTTAGGCCAAAAATCATTAGGATATTAAGTAAAGATCATGTTCCATGAAGATATTTTGTAAATTTCCTACTGTAAATATATCAAAAATTAATTTTTGATTAGTAATATGCATTGCTAAGAACTTCATTTGGACAACTTTAAAGGCGATTTTCTCAGTATTTTGATTTCTTTGCACCCTCAGATTCCAGATTCTCAAATAGTTGTATCTCAGCCAACAAACTACACATCAATGGAAAGCCTATTTATTCAGCTTTCAGATGATGTAGAAATCCCAATTTCGGGAAATTGACCCTTATGACCGGTTTTGTGGTCCAGGGTCACATATGATCTATAAACACTTCCATTCAAAAGTTTAGGGGCAGTAAGATTTGTATTTATTCATTTTGAAAGAAATTACGTTTATTCAGCAAGAATGCATTCAATTAAATTTTTATTTCAAATAAATGCTGTCCTTTTGAACTTTGTGTTCATCAAAGAATCTTGGCAAATATATATTGTGGTTTCCACAAAAAAATAATAACTATTTAACATTGGTAAAAATATGAAATGTTTCTTGAGCACCAAATCAGCATATTACAATAATTTCTGAAGAATTATGTGAGAGTGAAGACTGGAGTAATGATGCTGAAAATTCAGATTTGCGATCACAGGAATTAATTATATTTTAAAATATAAAACAGCTCTTTTGAATTGTAATGGTATACTGTTTTTACTGTATTGTCAAATAAATGCAGCCTTGCTGAGCAAAAACTACTTTCAAAAACAAACTTTGAAATGCTAATGGACATTAATGGTCTCCATCATCATCTTTTGTATCTCTTATGAATGGCAGTGGACTCTAATGTCCTACATGATTGAAGGAGGAGGCTCCGCGACGCACTCAAAGGCTAAACGCTGGCTCTACAGGTATCCAGAGGCCAGCCACAAACTCCTGAGCCAGCTAAGAGACGTCATAGTGGAGTATCTTCTGGGACAGGTGAAAGCTGGAGCTCAGGTGAGAGAATGAATGAATTGAGATCGCAGAGGAGAATGGTTTAAAAAAAACTGATGTTCTGTAAAGTTTTTATGGACACAGAATGTGAAATAAATGAACTTTTCCATGACATTCTAATTTATTGAGATGCACCTGTATACGGTCAATTTTCACTAATTTCCTTATCTTGTCTTTTGTTTAGGCTCTGCAGGTTTTCGAGTCTCATACTGGTTGTTTGGGCCCAGTGGAGTTTAAAGAGTTTTCTCTGCCATATCTGAGAGACATTGGTCGCCGTGTTAAAGACAAGATCAAAGAATCTGGTTTGGACAATGTGCCTATGGTAAATAGAGTTTGACATTTTAATCTCTCTTTAGCTTTAACTATGATTTACTAAGTAACACTTAACTTTATTAATATGTGATTGAAATGTGGAAAACAGCAACATAATTGATTCATCCCAAGGTGTCAGTAACATCCCTAGTGAAAAATATACTTAAATGTATT